AAAGGTAGTGTGAATTAAATGTACATATTATGTATGTATTATATACATTATATATTATATACAGAATATTATATACAGAATAAATATATAGGTACTATGTAATATATAGGAGCTCTGGTAGCATAGTGCCTAAGGCACTTGACTGCTAACCAGAAGGCTGTGGTTCAAACCCACCAGCCACTTCTCAGAAGGAAGGTTGGCGAATCCTACTTCTGTAGTGATACTGCCTCGGAAACCCAAGGAGGGGTTGCTATGAGTCGGGGCCGACTTGACGGTGTTAGGCCGAAGTAAAGCCAAGCCACCACCATTTCAGTTGGCAGCTTCCTCCAGGTGTCAGGCCCTGATGAGACAGCCTGATAAGACAACCAAGGTGGCAGAACCCACCCAGGCTGGAAAGTCCCACGTGATGACAAACTTCCTCCTGTGAAGCCCCTCATGCTAATTAGGTGCAGACCTGTGCCAACAGCTAATTGGACCCCGCCACTTCCTTAGTGTTCCCAATTAGGTCCTCTCTGTGTCTATAAGAATCTACCCCCCCCCCTGCCCGGGGGTGCGACTTCTCTGGCCTTGATGCTAGAGCCCGAGAACCTCGCCCGGGAGCACTAATAAACTGCTTCTCTGAAACAACTCCGTGTCCTGCTGTCTCGGCAGCTCTGCATTACAGATGGCACAAAACAACAACAACAGCAACAATGTAATAAATACAAATGCATCAGCAAATAGCTAATATTTAATTAACAGAAAAAGTCATTAACCTCTCAAAATAAATCTGAAAGAACAACTCAGGTTGAACTGCAAAAGGTTTTTGAGAAAGAAACTAAAAGTTTATAAGAGAAAATATATAAAGACCAAAGTTTATTAGTTGTTATCAGGGGTGGCGGGTGGAGGAAAAATGGGGGTTATTGCTTGTAGACTTAGTTTCACTTTATAATGATGGAAAAATTGCATTGATTAAGGGCAGGTTTGCACAGCTGATTACTGTAAGTGCTGTCAATAAGTTGTCCAGCTGTAAGAAGTTGAATTGGTGCAAGTTGTGGGGTGGACACATTCACAACAACGACAGCAGAGAGTAGCTGCTGAGGCCGCTTTCGTCCACCCAAACACCTCATGGGATTCGGTTCCCTGGTTTGGAGGTTTAGGGTCATGGTATCATGGGACAGCCCAGTTAATTGACCTAATAACAACTTGAGTGCTTCTCTTCTACTCCTAGTTGGTCACACAGTGCCTGGGGTCATAAAAGCTTGCAAGCGGCCATCCAAGGCCAGATGGTTGGTCTCTTGTCACCTGGAGCAACAGAGGAAGGAGGAGCATAAGGAACAGGGGGAAGAAATGGAGTGTGTTGGTAACACCCCCAGGAACAAGTGTCTCCTTTGTCAGGAGACCAGAAGAATGGGATGGTGCCTATCTACCCTTACTGAAGATTTTCATCAGAGATTCTATAGAAGATTCCAGATCAAAAGGGGAAAAGTGCATATGAGAATTTAAAATTCTCATGGAATCCAGGCATTCTGGAGCCATGGAGGCCGGATGAACCTTTGACACTATTGCCCCAGATCATCTTTAAGCTTTAAAGCAAAAATAGCCCCTCAGGTCTTTTTAAAACCAAACAAGAGTTTAGCTTAACTGGTAAAGAATGTCTGCCTGAGCACTGTGCTCTTTGAAGAACTTATATGGGATCAGAGGAGCCCTGGTGGCACAGTAGTTAAAGAGTTGGGCTGCTGACCAAAACGTCCACAGACGGAATCCACCAGCCACCGCACAGGAGAAAGATGAGGCCATCTGCTTCCACAAAGAGTTATACTCTGTCCTATTGGGTCACTGTGCCTGACAGAAGCCATGGTATTTCCAGTTGCCTCCTATGCATGTGAGAGCTGGACAATGAATAAGGAAGACGAAGAAGAGTCGATGCTTTTGAGTTGTGGTGCTGGTGAAGAATGCTGAAAGTACCATGGACTGCTAAAAGAACTAACAGATCTGTCCTGGAGGAAGTGAAGCCAGAATGCTCCTTGGAAGTGAGAATGGCCAGACTTCATCTCACATACTTTTGTCATGTTGTCAGAAGGGACCAGTCCCTGGAGAAGGATGTCACCCTTGCTAAAGCAGAGGGTCAACGAAAAAGGAGAAGGCCCTCAATGAGATGGACTGACAGTGGCTGCAATGATGGGCTCAGGTATAGTAAAGATTGTGAGGCTGGCACAGGATTGGGCAGTATTTCATTCTGCTGCTGCCGGCCATGGGCGGGGCGGCCGCGGCCCACACCCAGTGAACTCGCTGCACCGCGCGCCTCAGGGGGTTATCTCCGGGGAAGAGTCCGCGCTCTCCTGCGGGACTGCAGCGCACGGGTCAGTCACCAAGGCGCGGATGCCCTCGCTCACCTCGGGTCACCGAGGCACGGATGCCCTCGCTCACCTCGCTGACTCCATCCCTTTCTACCATCCCCTCCCCGTCGTCCCGCGTCCCTGAAGAGGGACAGGAGCTAAGTGCAGGCCCCGCCACATCTCATCTACCCTCCGTGACACCGCGGCTTCAGACCCTAGAAGTCAGACGTGCAGAGCTCCCCAATGACAGTGTGGTGTTTGGTATACGGGATCAAATTGAGAATTTGAAACGTTAGATAGAAAGCTTAGGGGGCAGTGAGGTTATGTTAATGGTGGAGGAACATCTAGAAAAGAGGATGAGAATGAATGCAGGACTTGAGGAATCCAATCAGTGTTGCCCAGCTGTCCCTGTAGAAACTGTTGAATTGGTGCAGGCTCTGCTGTGTAGATTAACAACAACATAATAAAACGAATTATAAAAATAATAGTAACCTGACACTGAGGCAAAACAACAACAAAATTTATGAGAGACTGAGCAGGGAAGGATTTGACAGCATTACAGTCAAAATGAGGAGCTCTGGTAGCATAGTGGCTAAGTCACTTGCCTGCTAACCAGACGGCTGGCGGTTCAAACCCACCAGCCACTCCTCGGAAGGAAGGTTGGGCAATCCTACTTCCGTAGTGATACTGCCTCGAAAACCCAAGGAGGGGTCGCTATGAGTCGGGGCCGACTCGACGGCACATAACAACAACAACAACAACAACTGCTTTAAAGTGTCTTCTACATTACCTCTGTAACAATGAGGAGCTCTGGTAGCATAGTGGCTAAGTCACTTGCCTGCTAACCAGACGGCTGGCGGTTCAAACCCACCAGCCACTCCTCGGAAGGAAGGTTGGGCAATCCTACTTCCGTAGTGATACTGCCTCGAAAACCCAAGGAGGGGTCGCTATGAGTCGGGGCCGACTCGACGGCACATAACAACAACAACAACAACAACAGCAACAACATAGTCAAAATAGGACCTCTGGTGGAGTAGTGCCTAAGGCACTCGACTGCTAACCAGAAGGTTGGTGGTTCAAACCCACCAGCCAGTCCTCGGAAGGAAGATGGGGCAATCTACTTCCGTAGTGATACTGCCTCGGAAAACCAAGAAGGGGTCGCTATGAGTCGGGTCCGACTTGACAACACATAACAACAACAACAACAACATGGTCAAAATGACCCAGTCATGGGATTGAAAGACTGAGAAAGGAAACAACGTCGTCCTTCAGTTGGGCCCCGAAAGGCGGTAGTTTTTGTGTGGGGCCAGAATGAACAAGTATGAACCACTTTAAAACAATCAGTACAAAACTCCAACCTCCCTGGATTAGCAAGTGAGTCCTGTTCTTGCAGCACCTGCTCCGGGGCACGTGCACACACTCGAGAGCGGGCTTAGGGTGGACTTTGTAGGCAGTGGGGGTGCATGGAGGGCTGTGACTTGGAGCTTCGTCAGTCTAGCCTTTGTACAAGGAAGTAGGAACTAAGAAGAGGAGGGGGCTGGCGGACAAGGAGGCGGTACCCAGCCTCACGTTAGCACTGCGACGCAAGCCACGCATTTTAACTACCAAATCGGTAACAACTCCTGCTCCCATTACGACGGCGACCATAAATGAGCGCGACGGACAAAGCCCCCTCGTGGCCACTCTGCACACACTCATTTATCTGATCTTCCTCACGGAAGCAACGCTGCAAACACAACCGGCCCTTCTTGCCCAGGTTAAGACAAGAAGATGAAATCTGTCTTTTAAAGCATTTAATTACGTCTCAAATCCTCCCCACCGAGAGGTGCAGGTGGTTAACCTTCTTCCAAGGACAGCTCAGCCCAGGCTGGCCAAAAAGGCTCCCCACGAGGCCAGCTGTCGGTGGCCTGCACCCGGAGACCTCGCCACCCCGCGGAGAATTGAAGCGCAGAGCTGTGCGGCCGCCACCTCCGGCTCCTGCCGCCGGCCATGGGCGGGGCGGCCGCGGCGCACACCCAGTGAACTTGCTGCGCCGCGCGCCTCCGGGGGTTATCTCGGGGGTGGAGTCCGCGCGCTCCTGCCGGACTGCAGCGCACCGGTCACCGAGGCGCGGATGCCCTCGCTCACCTCGCTGACTCCATCCCTTTCTACCATCCCCTCCCTGTCCCGCGCCCCTGGTGGCCTGGCCAGCCCGGGCCCACTCCGCCCCACTCAGCGCTCTCATTGGCCACCCTGAGCCTGTCCTGGTTCTATAAATACATAGTCCCTGAGCATGGGCGCAAGGAGAGGGACAGGAGCTAAGCGCAGGCCCCGCCGCATCTCTTCTACCCTCCGTGACACCGCGGCTCCAGACCCTAGAAGTCAGACGTGCAGACGGACAGGCGGCCCCACATCCCTTCCTCTCCCCTTCCAGAGGGCACTGGCCCGGCTGGTGCCCTCCCGCAGCCCCGGAGTCCTGCGTGCCGCGCCCGGAGCGTGCCTCTCAGAGCAGCGTCCAACACCCTTATCGACTCCCTCCCGCTCTGCTACTGCCTCTCCTTCCCCCTCTCCAACCACACCTGTGCACCCCATTTGCCTCTTTCGTCGCAGAATCGAACGCCCTCCAATCTCACCAGCATCTTTTTAGCAACGTAGCCCTGCCCAGTCCTTGCACCTTCCCACCCACCGGGTCTCCCTGCTGCTATGACTTCCCCTGTCAGCAAGAGCCCCCTGGCCGCCTTCCTGCAGCTGTTGCGCAGCCTCGGGCAGCCCCCTAGACCAGTCACATCAACTGCGTGCCCGCCCCCTCCGCCGCGGGACGTGCCCATCTGCCCACTGGTGGCTCGTGGCAAAGCGCAGGACGCGACTGCCCTGCCTGGCCCCGCCAACTGGCCGCTGCTGGGCAGCCTGCTGGAGATTCTCTGGAAAGGAGGGCTCAAGAAACAGCACAACACGCTGGTAAACGCCTCGCCGCGCCCGAATTCCCTCTCCCCTTTTTGCCCCGCTCTCCCAGCCGCGCTCCAAGCTCTCCCCGCGACGCGTAGCCAGGGCGCACTGTGCGCTCTGCTGCCAAGGCTGCGGCGGTCCGCTCTCAGGGGAGGAAGGGGGCGGGCGGAGGGAGCAGAGCTCTGGCGGCGGCGGAGGATGCGCTCCAACTCCGCGCTGTGCCCTGCCTGCTGCAGGCGGAGTACCACAAGAAGTACGGCAAGATTTTCCGCATGAAGTTGGGTTCCTTCGACTCGGTGCACCTGGGCTCGCCGTGCCTGCTGGAGGCGCTGTACCGCAATGAGAGCGCGTACCCTCAGCGGCTGGAGATCAAACCGTGGAAAGCCTATCGCGACTATCGCAACGAGGCCTACGGACTGCTGATCTTGTGAGTGGGGAGAGGCGGCAGGGCCTGATGTCCCGGGAAATTGGGAAGGGGTAGGAGTTTGGGATTCCCTGGGGTCCGAACCTTCCTGAGCAAGAGCGAATACCAAAGCCCTCAGCGGTGCAGTTCCGGAGCTTTGCACCGACTAGAGAGAGAAGGGGAGGGCTGTGCGGCGCCCCAAACACCTGCGTTCTCTGTGGCAACTGGGCAGGGCCACGTCCTTCCATCAAAGAAATGCCAACACAGGGGTGTTCACATTGTGCTGGGACTCCTGGGCGCAGTGAGGTTCTGAAGTCCTTCCAGACACTCATCTTCCACACAAAAAATATCCCTGAAAATTCCCTGACACTCCCAGGGCTGGGCTCTTGGAAGCTCCTAAGCCAGAAATTGATTTCTTTTGGTTTTGACTTTCTCGCGGGGCACCTGTTTCCTGGGTGTAATTGGAAAGGTGGGAATGGGAGGGAGCCAAGACTGCGTTTCATAGAAAGACAAACCCACAATAGGGTGTGATTCCTGTTTTTAACTGTGTGCATTTGACAAGTGAACACTTTGTTTACCCCTAAGTTGCCGTAGCTAATGGTAGAATTTTTCACTTGTACTTACTGGAGTTTAAAAACACGAAGGTATGGTGCATGGTGGCCTGCGTGGTCAGTCACAGGGTACATGAATAAAGGGGCTTGATGGTAACATGTTTTACAAAGCCATGAACCTCAGTGTTTGTTATTGGGAAGCAGTGGACAGAATTCTAAACTTGAGGTATTTTGTGCACATGAAGTCCAAGCCAATGGGTTGAAGGAAGACAAGGTTTGAACTCACAGCCCTAGGTTGCTGGTGAGGGGCTGGGTACATGCCCACTCTTACTCCTGTAACTCAAGCTTCCAGTCTTCCAGCCTCATCCCTGCCAGGGCACTTCAAAAGCCCTGAATCGGAATGATCCGACTTCACCTTCTCGGTACAATCTGGGAAGAAAGGTGGATTTCCCCCTGCCTGGTCAAACCAGCCCCAAAGTCAGGTTTTGCCGGTATCCTTGGCACTCTTGGCTTTCCGTTTGGTTGCACGGCTGATGATGTCACAAAGCTGGGAGTGTCTCTGCCCCTCCCTGTACTTTGCCATTTGCTGGAGCTAAGACTCTGCTTCTCTTCCCAGGGAAGGAGAAGACTGGCAGAGGGTCCGGAGTGCCTTTCAAAAGAAGCTAATGAAACCTGCGGAAATAATGAAACAGGACAACAAAATTAATGAGGTTTGCAGCCGGGCCAGCTTTCCAGGGTCTCTGTGGATAGAGGGATGTTTAGGGAGCTTTGAGTCACAGCTACAAAGTGCAGAGGGAAAAGCAGGCAGTTTGGAGAATTCAGGAGACTTCCCCTTCTCCCCACTCTTCATATGCCCTCCCCCCAGGCCCTGACTCCTTGCTCCCTCACCCAGGTTTTAAGTAATATCTCAAGAAGGGCACAGGGATGAGCATAGACAGTAGTATTCCACAGTCTTGGGTTTGAGCCCCAGCCTTCCGCGCACTAGCTGTGTGCTGAACCTCTCTCAGCCTCAGTTTCCCAATCTGCAAAATGTAAGTAACCAGTTCCCCACCACAAGTTGGCTGTAAGGATTAAATGAGATAATGCTTATAAAATTTGATGGGATTTGAGCTGGCTTTTGCAGGATGCAAGCCAGAGAAGGTGGGAAACGGCATTCTAGGGAGAGACAATCCAAAAAAGCCTAAACCCATCACCACTGAG